CTCCTCGGGGGAGCCCACTGACTTCTCCAAGTCTTATTCCACCCGTTACACATCTCCTTTCTTCAACCTCTTTGATTCTTGCGAGGCAGTATCCCCACCATCTTCATGTTATGTCACCTCCATGTCCCGTTTTACATAACGTGGCTTATCCGTGAGCATCAGTACCCCACTACTCCTCGCATTTTCTTATCCAACTACAGTCTACTCCCATTAGATGCTGAGAGAGCCAACTTCGAATCAGACATACATGGCTTCGATCTTGAGCTCCTAAGATACTTTTCCTGCCTATCATACTCTTTTGGGGAAAAGCTTCCACGTCCCCACTCCTTCATGCATATCGCACCCCCGCCCTCCACCTCCAGTCCTTCATCCTCTTCCACTACCCCCGATACATCCATTATTGCTCCTCCCTACAAAATTCCTGCACGATTAATGTGAGTGGGTATATCAAATCCTTCTGTTCTTGAAGTTTGTTCACGTGCTCTTCCTGAACGTAACTCACCATTCAACACACGACACGGAACACTAGCATCTTATCATGTTTAAAGTTAAAGTGAATCCTTTTTTGGGTGTTATCTTGCACACCTTGTCAATGACTTGCAAACATCCAAAGTCACGTGGATCTTGATTCAACCAAATTGTCCCTTCACTGATTGTTCATATCCACTCAGTCCACCTTTTCCTTCCTTTTGTTACTCACTTGTGATGTCACCCGTCGTCTATTTCTCTTTCAAGTCCAACACTATGAAATATGGAGGGGCCTGCCATCCATCATCACACCCTACAAAATCAACAAGGCATTATAGTTGTATGAAGACTAGATTATCCTTCGTATCCCGAAACTCCACTTCCCGCGTCAAGTTCCAAGCGGATCTCATCCCTCCAAAGAACATGGCGTGGCTGAACATTCTGGTAGTATGAACCCTAGCGAGCGCCATAAGTTAGAATCTTTCTCTAACTCCTTCAAATCCTCCTCGATGGTGGTGTCCTCATATTCGTCTCCCTTAGATTCACAACCAGGAATTTCTCAGTGATATCTCCCGCATGTGAGGCGCTATATCCTTCCTGTGACTCTCATCTGCCACCGCCGTTCAAATCCTCCAGGATTCCTTCCTTACCCAGGACATCGACCGCCGCCCCCTGTCGAGCTTGGTTGCTACTCAGGGTGGACATACCGGCTCGCTCGTGGCCCGCTAAGGAGCGGACCGGACGGTCCCTGCCCGCTGGTATATTGGGTCGGTCCCGTCTGTATAATTCGGCCCGAATACACTACCGGTCTGGTCAGGATTTCGCCCGGTCCTACCGAGCAGACCGGGAACTGCCATTGGCGCCATCGCCCA